ATCAATCCTGGTTGAAATCAGCATAAGACGTTAAATGATGCTTTTTTTACCTATCGAATAATATTTTTTTTTTTTTTAGAAAAAATTTTTTTTTTTATTTTTTATTTTTTTTTTATCCGGTAGCTAGTAGCTAGTAGCTAGTAGCTAGTAGCTAGTAGCTAGTAGCTAGTAGCTAGTAGCTAGTAGCTATAGCTAGTGGCTAGTGGCTAGTGGCTAGTGGCTAGTGGCTAGTGGCTATGGCTAGTGGCTATAGCTATAGCTATAGTATACTATTATAAAAAATGACAGATGAGAATTTCCTTTTATGAAATTGCCCGCAACACAAACTATAGAATACAATACATACATGGTAAAGTATCACAGCATCATACATCCACTTATAGAAATATTAGCCCGCCCAAAATTAAATAGTGTTAAATAATAGTATGTTCTCTATATGAAATATCTTTAAGTGCATGGTATATAAAATACATTTAAAACCAAATAATATTACTTTATTTATAATATAACTCCCTTAAAATATATCAAGTGCCTTGTTATATGCAATATAATTTTTAGATCTGTACGTTTCACCGACACTCACTTCACTGACATGTCACTTCATCCTAATGACAATAATCAGAATTACTTGTTCGGTGAAATAACTCAATAAAATAATTATTGGTGAAATGAATTTGTCGGTGAAATGATGTGCCAGTGAAATGTATGAAACCCATTTGAGATTATACTAAGCCTTTTTCATTGTTGTACCTTTATTTACTATGGCTCATCTTTCTCAATGACCTTCGGCTAAACAAGCCTCATGTGCCATCCAAGCTTCCAAAAGTTAAGCATTGAAGCACATTTGTCCTGATTTTTCGGGAATTTCACTGTTTGCTCGTAACAGCATAATGACTTCCTTTCTATGCACATAATACAGCCAGTCGTCGTTTCTTTTAAACTATCTTCAAGTTCTTCACAACCTCAACCACCATCATTATGTTTCAACTAATGATGCCGAGAAATCACTGTTTTCAATTCATCAATTCCAGGTGCATATTCTATTTTGTTTGTTCTTTTTCTTGTATATTTAATTTTGATTGGTTATTAATAAAACATACAAGTAATTTTTTTATATATTAAACGCCAAATTTTCAAATGCATATAAATTTTAAAGTATTATAACTCAAGAACAATTAGTTTAGAAAAAATTCCTCTTACATATTTGTTGCTTTTTATTCAAACTACACCTTTGTTAAAATAGATTTTTAATTTTAAAAAGTTATAACATATTTATATTTTATATATAAATACTGGATGTGATTTGCTGTCGTACTATAATACATAAATTTAAAATTTTTAAATTATTTAGCCCAAGAATCCAAAAAACATCTATATATAAATTTATTGCATATTAATGTTTTCATTAATTTGTTATCTGGTTTAATCTTTTTACTTAGGAAAGTCAATAAATTTGACATGTAATTTTGGTGTAAAATTTTTAATTACACTTAATCACCAAGCCCATATTGGATCAGGCCAATTTTTATATTGAAAATAAGCTAACACTATTATTATAATAACGCCACAAACAACACCAACAACAATACCAACTATTTGACCAACCGAAAGACCACCTGAAGGAGGTGTAATATCTGATGCATTATATATACTAAGGGCTAAAGGACCCCCACAAATTTGTGAATTATTACCTTCACAACTAGAACTACATTCTTCTATAGAAAGTCTGGTTAGGCTTCTATAATCATTATCGCAAAAACACTGCGATCCTACCTGAGAATGATAATAAAAAGATTTAAATACTTTCTTGCAATTATTTAGACACGTTTTCACAATTACGACGGCAATGATTAATGTTTAAATAATTAAATTTGGATTTCTATCTATTCAAATCATAATCATCGCGTGTTTTAAATACGTATTAAAAAATCAGTCACCCATACCTCGAGTCCTGCATACTTATATTTTCTCTCATCACAAAATTTTAAACACTCTTCAATTGTCATTCCAGAAGGTTCATCTGATGTACCATTTAAAATTCTTTGATTACAATAAGGGCTTTCCTTATAACATCCTTTATATCTTACATCCTTCTTAAGGCGAAGGTCATTAATTATTTCAAGTTTTTGACTGATAGTTATATTAGGTACTCTATAACTTGAAATAGCCGTTAATGCATTATAAACAGTATAGCCATCTTTTCCACCACATATATAACTTGAATTACCAACGCATTTGATATTACAAGTTGTATTTATTAACTTATCATTAGTTAATTTAATGTAAGCATCTAAACCAGTGTCATTACCACATCTACAATCATTTCCATTTTTTAGTGCTGCATATTTAAAAAGATAATCAGCACAATGAATTATACAGAGTCCTGGGTCCATTAAAGTTTGATCCCGATCCTTGTATGGGTCAGGAAAATTTATACTCGTAAGACCAGCTAGAGTATCTATACTAAAGGTTGTATTAAATGTATAGCAGCCTAAAGGGTTGGTTGATGGATGATTTCTTCGTGTTAAATTTCCAACGCATTCTCCAGGATCAATTAATCTTTTGTAAAACATTATTCCATATGATTTGTGAAAAGTTGTACTTTCATAGAAAACAAGTTTAAATAGGCAAACCAATAAAATCGCAAAAATGACTAAAATTTTTCCGTTTTTCATTAATACATTAAAAAACATGAAAAGAAGATAAAAGGAAATAAAAGAACATGAAAAGAAAAAATGTACAGTGAATGAAGCTTAAAGCGAATTACTATACAGTGTAAAAGAATGAAAAGGTTTCACAATGAGTTTTTACAACATTCATTTTAATATATCTTTGTATGCATAATATACTTCGAAATAAATTTAATATAATCATTGGCCATTGTGATTACACTAATCAATATATATATTTCCTATTTGTTGCAGGGGTAATGTAGAGTATATATTGGGATTACCAAGTTTGGAATGTGTGATCAACTATCGGATTTGGTCTTGACACAGGCGAAGCACAAGGATGGCAAATGACCTGGTCATTTGATCAAAATTCAAATGACCCAAAGTCATCAAATAATGATCCAGGTGATTTAGGTCATTTGCATATAGAATAATTTTCTTTGTCGAATTTCTCATGTAGAAAAGTTATCGAACTATATTAAACCCCCCTAGCATCACCACCCTAAAAAATTTCGCTATTTCGCCAGCCAATCAGAATTCAAGATCCGGTGTAACACGAAAAAACACAAAAAATCAAAGCAAACCAAAAAATCGGTCATAACTCAACATTTTACCTATGAAACTACTTTCTGCGCATTAACAAAAAGTTTTCCTTGCGAAATTTTAGTATTAGGAAAACTTTCTTTAACCTAACTTAATAGCAAAACCTAACCTTAATTTAACTGCGAAATTTTTTTTAGCGAAATTTTTTAAGTTGGTGACGCTAGGATCTTACTATATTACAGTGCTTTTCAAATTAGTGTGATCAGCCGTCGATCATCCATCACACGGAAATCGGTAGAATTCCCGTAAATTCGTTGTTTTTTTTAAAAAATTCCCACTTAAAAAATCACAATTCCAATGATTCCTTGTCAATTCCCGATTCTCTAGTGTGTCATCTATTAGCGTACGATATCCCCAATGTCTATCAATAGAAGTGCATTGAAATTTATTTTCAACCTTTGATCGAAGTTATCTCGACACCTATCTAACCAAATTCGATGAACTTTTTTTATTCGAATTCTGATTATCTCTATAATTAAAACAAAAAAAGTTTGTTGAATTTGGCCAGGTAGGTGTTAAGATATCTTCGATTCCAGTAATTATATAAGCTCTATGCTGCGTTTAACACAAGTGATAGAAATTACGATAATTCCGATGCAACTTATTCAATTTAGCTACATACAGTGTGTATTGCAATAAATATAAGTTCTGTAATACGTAGAACATTTCACTGGTAAAATTTAATAAATTCGTCATGTTAAATGGCATAATTTGAATGTCATCAAAACTGCCATTCGAACTGCCATTCAACACTATCACATGACTTCACGGACATTGATGTCCGTGAAGTTATGTTATAGTGTTGAATGGCAGTTTATTAAAGTTTACCAGTGATTGATAGTTAATAATACAACTTAAAAAAATGCTGAATAAGATGGGTAGTGCAGACACGCCACTCATCGCACTAGTCTAAGATTATTTATTTAAGTTCGTAGCTCTAGCCTTATATTATTTTGATCTTACCTTAAGCATATATTCAATTTTATGCCAACAACGGTAAATTTTTTTGAATTAACAATAACTACTTTAGTCAATACTATTAATCAATAGAAGCAGATAAGTTCTAGTTGCAAAAAATGCAAATAATACATAGCATAATTATTATAAAACATTTCTATTTGCACTAACATATATTTTATTAGCTGCTATCAAAAATTAAACCTATAATGCATTTGATACTTTTCGGCATATTCACATAGAGTTTGCCGTTCTCCAACAGTATCTATTCCGCACTGTTTGAAGTCTTCATTTGTTAATCTTAATAAATTTTTTACTGAAACTCGTTGTGCTTTGAATTTTTCTAAAAAATCTTGATAATGATGGCCTGTTCCTTCCTTTTCATCTACTTCTTTCAAGAACTCTTTTATGGTAGGTAAAACAAGAGGAACATATGAATTAGGTTGAATAGTCTGAGCCTGAAAAGATAATGTTTTATATGGGTTGAAAGATAATGGTTGGTGTTGTTGAAGTATTTGAGATCCAAAACCCCAATTGTGTGCTTGCGCATGTGGTGTTTGTAGTTGTAACAAAACTAATGGTGCTTGAGGCAGGAAAATAAATGGCACTTGTGATGGTGGCCAAACTAATGGTGCCTGTGTTTGCAAATGTGAAAGTGATAATTAAATTGCTTGAGGTGGTGATAGAGGCAATGATAAAACTGATGATGCTTTTTCCTGCGGTGAAGTATCTTGTAAAAGCTTCTTGGATGATATATTAGCATGAGAAAAAAGTGGATGTGTCAGAGGCTCTTCGATTGTAGTCAATTCTTTATTCTAAAAAATGAAATATATAAATAAACCACATATGATAAATTGTTATAGACTAATATATATTATACACCATATCTGATTCCCATATAGAAAGCATCATAAAAGTTATTTGAACATGCAAATCCTTGTGATTTTCCTTGTTTTAGTTTTACTATAAATTTAGGATTACGCTAGAAATAAGTTTAAATTTTAGAATTAAATTTTTGGAGCAATGAACATTTTTACTTGGAGCATCAGGTAGTACGTAGCAACGGTATTTTAAGCATTGATTTAGTTTAACAAATTGGCGAATTTTATTTGAAATATAATGGTTATCTGAACTGTAATGAAATTTTGAAACAAAAATTTCGGAGAAAGCATAAAAGAGATATAAATAAATTACGGAAAATAATATATTTGTATTTAAGATTTTGAAATTAATTGCATATAACTAATATAATCATAAATGTCATAAGCGATAGGACACAAAGTATTAAAACATATTGCTTAAATTTTTCTTGAAATCATAAAATATTAGAATAATAAAAAAACACGTTGATAAAGATGATTTAAACTTAAAAATGCATATGCGTGATAAATAAAATTCAAAATATTTTTAATTGTGATTTAATACTAATTTTTACCAATCCATTTAGTTAGAGCTTTTTCAAGCTCATCAGTTTTCAGAGGTTTCGCAAGATAATCATTTATTCCTGATTCTATACATTTACTTTGTATTTCTTCCCTAGATAAAGTAGTTAGAACAATAATTGGTATGTCTGAAATTGGTGGTCCCATTGCTCTAATTGCTCGTGAAACATCAAATCCTGACATTATTGGCTAAGTTATTAAAACGTATCAATGTTATTAGGTAATTATTTGTTAATTTTTTTTTAATATTTTGTTAATATTTTGGGTTAATATTTGTTAGTATTTGTTAATATTTTGTTAACATTTTGTCATAACAAATAACAAAGAACAAATTCAGCGAAAAAACTTACTAAGTAACATTCTGTCAGGATTAATGAAATTCTACAGGAATTTATATCTGAACTGGATGAACTTGAATATGCATTATTTAATATTTTAAACTCTGAATTAATTAATCGGACTGCTTCCTGACCATTTGTTGCAAAGACTGTTGAGTAACCAAGTTTTGAAACTTGTTGCAGTGTGTTCTAAAAATAAGATTATATTGAAAAATTAGTATGAAAAATTATTAAAAGAATACGAGTCTACATTTTCAAATATATAGTTACTTCTAGACTAACAGAGTTATCATCCTATGAATAAAATTAGTCAACCGATTAGAGAAACTTTATAATTAACAATTATACATAATATAGCCAACGTAAAAAAGAAAACAAAGCATACCACGCATAAAATACATTTGCTTTTGGTAGTATTTCTTGTTATACTCTTAGAGGCACTCAAAATTATATCTCTATATATATCTTGATTTTCATCCTTAATTTTACGAGGCCTATAGTTTGGTACTTGTTTCAGAACACTTTCAACGATGTGCAAACCTTTATTTTTATAAATAGCATCGCCTTTTTCCATATGTATAAATTGATTAACCAACTTTTTCCATGTAATTGGAGTATAAATAACAAAAGTTATTCCTCCAATTTTTTCAATTAAACTTTCTGCCAACTCTTTTCCTTCATTATTCGGAGATACTATAAAGGTTATTACTAAATTATTATTTATTTCTAATTCTCTTAACTCTAATGCTGCATTCATGACCTCTTCTTTATTATTTTCATAAAGACCCATGAATACTATATCATAAGCAGGTCGACCAATCAATTCTTTATGGACTTTTGCTGCTCTAATACCTTTATCAAAGGTATCGAATGCATCAACGTTTTCGATTCTTTTAAGATATTTTAATATAGAGTTCCTCACACCATCAACTGGATGAATTATTAGTATTCGTTTTTTTCTTATAGTATGAGGCAACATAAATAATATTTGTTTATTAAATTCTGTCTCCAATGATGAAAGAGTGGGAAATTTTAAAATAGTTGGCATAGCTGATAATAATTCGATATTCCATGTAAACCAAAATTTACTCCCTTTTCCTAATTGACTTTCTGCGTTAATTTCTCCTCCGTTAATTTCTACTAAACTTTTACAAATTGAGAGTCCAAGTCCTGTACCATCCTGCTTTTTGGTTATTGACATGTCACCTTGTGAAAAGCTTTTCCAAGCATGTTGTATATACTCTGGATTCATGCTAAGATTTTTATTAAATTATTAGCCAATGTGTATATTGAAAATATTTGAAAATATATAGAGTTTATAATCATAAATGACCTACCCAATGCCAGTATCAAGTAATTCAATTAACAAAACTTCCTTTTT